GCCAATGGCGATCTGAGTCTCCTCGAGATTTTTTTCAAGGAGCGCTCAGAATCACTCTCCGAAGGAGGGATCCCGCTCTGCCCCACACATTCTTGTGCTGTACCGCGTTTCCAAAGTCGACACCGCCCTCCTTCACCGACCCGCGTTGACCGGCGCGATGAAGTACGGTCGAAAGCAACCCCACGGCCCCCTACGGCCCAGGGAGGCCCTCGCTCATCCAGCAGTGGATTAGAAAGGGCTGTTCGTCTTGGCCATTCGCAGCACTCGTTCCGAGTAACTTTGACTCTGCAGTGTCCACTGAGGCGTCATCCTGACTGGACAAAAACACACCCCAGAGACCTGTGGGTATTGAAATTGACCCAAGTCTGGCCTCCTATGACCTCTTGATAATTTTGTCAGTTCCGTTGTCAATGCCCGAGGCTCACAGAGCCAGACGAAGGCAGTGGCGGAATCCGTGCGGTGGGGTGTTTAATGCGCCAGTCGAGCCCTGCACGGGCTGGCTGGTGGCCACGCGAACGCTAATTCTGTGTAAATGTCAGTCTGTGCCGCGACACGAGAGGCATTAGAATTTCAAATGGGAACCTTTCCGTCAGACGTCAAAATTGGCGGTGTCCATGTGTGTGTGTGTTCGTGTGTGTCCATGCGTGTGTGTTTGTGCGTGCGTGTGTTCATGCGTGTGTTTGTGCCTGCGTGTGTGTGTGTCCATGCGTGTGTGTGTGTGTCCATGCGTGTGTGTGCGTGCATGTGTGTCCATTCGTGTGTGTGTGCGTGCGTGTGTGTCCATGCGTGTGTGTGTGCGTGCGCGTGTCAGGGTGAGTGATGAGCGTGTCGGAGTGACGAGTGTTGGTGTGGGGAGCGGTGGCGTAGCGGTTCATGTACTCCGCTATGACCCAAGTTCGATTCACCACTCACGGTTAACATTGGCGACAGAGATGATCTGAGCCGATCCTGTACCTTCTTTAGGCCGGCTTAGCCTTAAAATGAGTACCTGCTGCAGTGTGCAAACATCGGCCCTGGGGGAGACAAAGGCGGCCGGGCGTGGTGCTGGCCACCCACCCCCTTCGTGTGCCACAGTGCCGGCCTTCGCAAGTGCTGCTGCTCGCTAACAGCACTTGCAACCCATCAGCCTTTTAAAGGCCACACATGGGGGATCTTCGCCACTATCGTAAATCATCGCGCTCTCTCCAGGCGGAACTCAGTTAACTGGAATGCATTGCCGCGACTTGCTCCGTTCAGCCCACCCCCCCTCCCCCACGACTCCCTCGCACACAAAGAGTGCCCCTGGGGCATTTCTCGAACCCCCCCCCCCCCGCCGTGCAGACATCACTCGAGGCAACACCCCAAAACCGTGTGCTCATCAATAATATCATTATTGTAGTAATAATAATTATTTGGTTCTTTCGGCAAAGTCACGTATAAAGATAAAATAATAAATTAAATACTAGCATACGACGTTTCGATTGCAACACAAGCAATCGAAACGGCGTATGCTAGTATTTAATTTATTATTTTCTCTTTATACGTGACTTTACCGAAATAACCAAAGAGTAATTCCTGCAGTCACGAAAGCTCCAAATTAAGTAGTAATAATAATCTTAATTATACGTGCATGTGTGGTGGTGCTCGCTTAAACGCTAAGCGGATTTAAAGCGCATCTCATCTGAAAAATCCCGATGCCCTGCTTTGATCTATAGCCCAGGGGCGGTGATTGCTGCTGTGTGGTCTGGCCCAGGGCACCCCCAGTGGCAGCTGTCCCAGGACCGGTTCAAATAATTGTCACTGGTGTTGGCATTGGGTGGGAATCGAAATCGGGTCGCCGGGTTCGTAGCTAACCAATGCTCTATCGCTCCCCACTCCCCTACTCACCCACTCCGATTAGCACGGTGATCTACGTACGATGTGAAAAAAGTTCAACATATATATACTCACCAACCCATTCACTCACTCACCAACTCACCCACTCACTCACCCATTCACCCACTCACCCACAAGAGTTGCCGCCTGTCACCCACCCACTTGGGTGGTACCGAGATCTGGCACTGCTTTGTTGAACTGGATTGCAAGGGGACTGCACAGTTCTGGCGATAGCCCACGAGCTCACAGTGTCAGATTTCACTCTGTGGTGGAATAGGTGAGAGCAACCCTAAGTGGTATATTCTGCTTCCACATCCCTGCCAGAGTTAACACCAGCGACCAGTGGTATCTATAGAGGTCCTTTTCCGAAAACTAGGTCAATGCGGCCTCAACAAGAGTGTCCGGTGCAGTGTGTCAGCACTCGTGCTGGGAACACAAAGGTAGCTGGACGTGGTGCTGGCTACATCACCCCCACCATTGTGTGCTGTGCCAGACTTATCATCATCATTAGCCTTTGTCTATCCACTGCTGGGTGAACTCATTAACACGTGTTTAGGAATCTACGTGTGTAATTCACACGTGTCCGTCCGTCATGCTCTGGATTCCCCCGGACGGCACGTTGGCGTGAGAAGCCAATGCACCACACTCTCTTGCTGGCGACACTCCCGGCAAAACTGTGTCCAAACGTTTGGGAATTTACAAAGCAAATTTGAGCGCCCCGGCGTCGCTTCATTGTAACCGACGAGCGTGCGCTGCTGAAGCGGCCCAAGCAAAGTGAAATTTGGTTGGGTCCAGATTCGGCGGGAGAAGCGGCATCACGCCAGCTCCCATTGCACCCGCAGCGGTTGTGGGCGTGGTTGTGGTTAGATTGCTTTTGCAGTTGTGGATATATAATGCGGTTATGGGTTGAATGTGGTTGTGGTTATGGCTGTGGCTTTAGAATGGGAGTCGTTGTGATTTAGAATGTGCTCATAGTTGTGATTACTCGCTCATGGTTGTGGTTATAATGTAGTCAGAGTTGTGGTTATAATGTAGTTTGAGTTACAATATGGTAATGGTTAAAATATGGTTAGCATGCAGTTATGATTGTGTGCTCATGGTTATGGTTAGAATGTGATTACGGTTGTGGATATAATGTCGTGGTTTTGGTGGCTGTGGTGATTATATTGCTTCGGTTGTGGTTATATTGTGGTTATAGTGCGGTGATTATAGTTGTGGTTATGTGGTGCTTATCCTTAGAATGTAGCAGTTGTGGTTACTTGGTAATGGTTGTGGTTATATGATCATGGTTGTGGTTATAACGAGTGTATGTTGTAGTTATGTTCGGTTTAGTTGTGGTTATAATGTTGCTGTTATGTGTATGGTTACGTGGTTGTAGTTATTGTTATAATGGTTGTACAGCTGTTGTTAATATGTATGCACGTGGTGTTGATGATAGTAACGTTGTTAATGTAAAATCGTTTTTCGTGTTGCTGATATGTCATAGTGTGGGTGCTGATGTGTTGTCGATTGCAAAGTCAGCCAGCGAGTGTCATTGGAAAATGACGAGGAAGACATCCAAAGCGCTTTTGCATTTCACCAAAGTGATCTCCAGCGCAAATGGCAGCGCAAGCAACGAACGAAGCTGATTCGGAAGTGTTCGCACCGTTGCTGAGCATGGGCCCAATTGGCCCCACACGTCCGATGGCCAGCAACAAACGGCACTAATTAAGGTTGTAACATATACGTTTCTGGAATTGAGCGAGGCTATTATAAGAGATTGGGGGGGAAGATGATGGTGGTGATGATGGGAGGATGGGGATTCCACAGTGGAGCGGTGCGAGGGAAGAAGCAGAAAGAGAAGTGAGGTGACCTGCAGTGTGGTGAGCGGATGGGTGAGCGTGTGGGTGAGAGTGTGGATGAGCGGTAGTGCAGCAGTTAGCGCGTTGCACTTCTGATCCAAACCACCCGGAGTTTGATTCCTGCTCACGGCCAACACCACGTGGCGATTATCTGATCCAGTCCTGGGCCTCCCCTCGGTGGATTCAGCCTCAAGAGTTTAATCATCGTCACTCAGGCGATGAAGGTGGCCAGACGTAGTGCTGGCCACTTGTGTGCCGTGCTGGCCATCATAGGTTAAGGCTATACGGGTGATCTTGATTTGAAGCTTTCGTGACTGCAGGAATCCATACTCTTTGGTTCTTTCGGTAAAATCACGTCGGTATAAAAACAAATAAAATAATAATATATCACGACGTTTCGATCGCAACACAAGCAGTCGTCCTCAAGCGGAAAAAATAATCCAGCAGTGGGACTTCTGAACCAGCGAGAGAGCTGTTACAACAAGAGGTTATTTATGTGGCGATGGGCAAGCAAGCGGGGTCTGAGCTGGAAAGGAATTCCATCCACGGACGCAAGCACGTCAGTTGTGTTAATAGGGGAGATTAGGGAAAGAAAGATTAGGGAGAGAGATTAGCATGAAATGAGCTTCCGTCGTGCATAAGAGTATCATCCACGTATATGTGCACAGCAGCAGTGTTAATGGGAGATTATCATTATGTTGATGGGAGAGATTAGGCATGGAGATTAACACTGCTGCTGTGCGCATATGCGGGGACGATACTCTTATTCGGCGACGGAAGCTCATTTCATGCTTATCTCTCTCCCTAATCTCTCTTTACCTAATCTCCCCCATTAACACAACTGACGTGCTTGCGTCCAGGGATGATATTCCTTTTCAGCTCAGACCCCGCTTGCTTGCCCTTCGCCACGTAAATAACCTCTTGTCGTAACAGCTCTCTCGCTGGTTCAGCAGTTCTACTCCTGGATAATTTTTTCCGCCTGAGGACGACCCCTTGTGTTGCGATCAACACGTCGTGATATATTATTTTTTGTTTTATTTTTATACCTACGTGACTTTACCAAAAGAACCAAAGAGTATGCGGGTGATCTTTGCCTTTGTGTGGGTTTGAAGTGGGTGGGTTCGTGAGTGTGTGGTTAAGTGAGTGAGTGGGTGAGTGAGCGCGTCGCGGTGGTTGAGTGCACGTGAACTCAGTGTTACTGTCGAGCGGTCATCTCCCGTCACCTCCCCTCACCCTTTTCCTTTCCCTTCTCCCCCCTCTCCCACGCTCACCCCCCCCCCCCCACCCATCTCTGTGGTTGCGCAGGACCCGGGTGACCGCAAGCCGCGACGCTGGGAGTCGAGACGTTCATCGTCGTGCCTGGAACTGAACCGAAACCATTGGAGAGGCGTTCCGGATCTCTTCCGCCGCTGTGGGGACACGCGTCCGGGCAGGCTCGGGTGGTCGCCCGCTGGCGTCTGCAGCCTCACGGGGCCGCCACAGGCTTCACTCGGCGGCGACGCTGGCGAGCTGGGGTGGGGCAGCGGGGAAGGGCTCTTCGTGTCGCCGCTCGTGACGGCCAGAAGATCGTCCCGACAAGTCGTCCGATGCTCCTGTGACCGCCAAACGGGGTGTGCGCGTGAGCGCCAGAGCAGACGCGAGTGCATTGTTGTTGACCACACGCTTGCAACGCGCTGGTTCTTGCTTCGTCCCAAAGGCAATTTAACCAAATTGCAGCAGCTTTATCCTCCTCAAAGCAAAGTATAATCACAGTCGAACCAAATTAAATTTTATTGACCAAATTCTCGTCCTATTTATTTGAACCACATTTATATAGATATTATGTTATTGTCATTTGAACCTTAACACTGTGAATTGTAATATCGTCTCATCGAACCTGATATCGACAAAAAATACCAAACCTCGCCTCGCCAAACCTCACGCAGCTCAATCCCATCGAACCTCCCCAAAAATCCAACATTCGACCGATCCCACCGTCTCCCGCCCCGGTGTCGCTCCAACAAAGAGTGGGCCCGGCAGTCTCGTCGCGTCGCTCCTCATCCTCCTCCTGCACGATGCCTCCCCCGTCTCTTACGACGCCGCCGTTGCTGCCGCTGTTGCCGCTGCTGCCCCTGCCGCCGCTGCTGCTGCTCCTGCTGCTGTGCGCATCGCCGTGCCCGGCATCCCAGCAGCAGCACGATGACCGCGAGCTGTTCGCGGTGACGCGCGCCGGCCGCGTCATGGGCCGCCGCGCGCCCGTCCTCACCGGCTCCGTCGTCGTCTTCTCGGGCGTCCCCTACGGCGAACCCCCGGAGGGCGAGCGCCGCTTCCTGCCACCGGAGCCGCGCAAGCCTTGGCCCGGCACCCTGCGCGCCACGCAGCCGCCCCACTCGTGCTTCCAGTACATGGACATGGCCTTCCCGGGCTTCTGGGGTACCGAGATGTGGAACGCCAACACGCCCATGAGCGAGGACTGCCTGATGCTCACGCTCTGGGTGCCCTCGCCGCGCCCGCGCAACGCCAGCGTCATGGTGTGGATCTACGGCGGCGGCTTCGTCTACGGCACCTCGTCGCTGGACGTCTACGATGGCAAGTACCTGGCCTACAGCGAGGGTGTCGTGGTGGTCTCCATGAACTACCGCGTGGGCGCCCTCGGCTTCTTAGCTCTGCCCGGCAGCACCGAGGCGCCGGGCAACGCGGGCCTCTTCGACCAGCAACTGGCGCTGCGCTGGGTGCACGAGAACGCGGAGGCGTTCGGCGGCAACCCGGCGTCGGTGACGGTGTTCGGCGAGAGCGCCGGCGCCGCATCCGTGGGGTTGCACGTGCTGTCACCGCGGAGCCGGCGCTACGTGACGCGCGCCATCTTGCAGAGCGGCGCGCCCAACGCGCCCTGGGTGACGATCAGTGACGAGGAGGCGCGCCGGAGGGCGCGGGCGCTCGCCGCCGCCCTCTCCTGCCCCACGGGGGACGACGCGGAGCTGGTGCGCTGCCTGCACTCGTGCCCGCCGCAGCAGGTGGGGGCAGGGGCGGGGGGTGAGGGGGGAGGGGGGATGGGAGGACGTCACGGGGGGGGGGACGGTTCACCGTTTGTGGGGAGCTGGTTTGTATGGTCGCTGGATATATGTGAACTCTGCCCTAGTTCCGGCCACCGACGATGCTGGATGTGTAATTACCAGCGAAACGTCACAGTACTCAAATTGTAAATGTTGTGGTGGCAGCATTACACGTTGACATCATTGTTATGATTTCGAGATATTGTGGGTTTACTCTCCAACACATCGGTGTGTTGGAGTAGTAACTAATTGTTCATGTGACAAGCCTTACTCATTGGTTGTGTCGGGTGGTGGTGGTGGAACGACATTTAATATTTACGTGATCCAACCCAACCCAACATAAACATTATGATGAAAACCATAAACGTCACGATTTATTTAACGTTTTTTTCTTTAAATAATATTTAAATAGGAGCCCAGTACAGAGCACAAACCGTGTCGTGGGGAGGCGGTTGTACAGAAACTCCGCGGACACAAGTCCCGAACCCCCCCTCCCCATGCAACCGAGTTTTGAGAAGGGGGGGGGGGGTAGAGTGGTCGCAGTGCCCCACCGAGTGGGTGAAGCAACGCACCAAGAGACCCGGCATGAGGCACAGACCGTGGGAGGGGTGGGGAGGGGTGGGGAGGTGTGGGGAGGTGTGGTGGTTTCAAAAACTGTGCAGACTAAAGGCCCGGGTCCCAAAGATGGTGGAGGAGAACTGGGCTCAATGCCCCACAAACAAAGACAAAGTCAAAGATCCCCCGTATAGACTGAACAGACTGTCGGAGCAAGTGCTGTTAGCGAACTCCTATAAAGGCCGGCACACGAGGGGTGGGTGGTCAACACCATGCCTGGCCGCCATTTCCTCCTGACCGGTGATGATTACACACCGCACCAGGTACTCATTTGAGGCTTATTCGACCTCGGGGAGGCCTAGGACCAGTTCAGATTATCGTCACCGGTGTTGGCCGTGAGCGGGAATTGGACTCGGGACGCCCCACACACACATGCGGGGACTGCGAGCAGGAGATTGCTGGAGCACAGTGCTCAGGGGGAGTCGTAGTGTAGGGGTTAGCGTTACGCTGCGCTTCAAACCCGGCGACCCGCTCACACCAGTGACGATTATCTGAACCGGTCCTGGTCCTACTCTAGGTCGACTCAGCCTTATATAAGTACTTGGTGTGTAAACATCAAGGGGAGAAGGGACACAGGTAGGGGGGGGACCGACACGCACCGAGTGAACTTATTGTCGACAAAAGTTCCGCGGGGCTGTGATTGACTACACAGCAATCCCTCGCCAACCGCGGGGGTGAGGTTTACTGAAAACCCCGGTGGTTCGTGAGGAACTACTGTCCTGTCTATCCCCATAGGGGGAGGTGGGGGGGGGTAGCGAGGGGTGCACCTTATTGTACTCCCCTCATATGGAGGGCGGGGAGACCAGGCTTAATCCTAGCTCGGTCTCTTGCAGGTGGAGCCTGAGACTCTTGCCTCGTCTCGTGTCAGTTCTCAGGCCGACTAAACAAATAGATTAAACTTTTTTTTTTTACTCATGCTGGCTGGTTGGCTCGAGCGTGCGTCGCTCTCATTGGCCGAGCGAATGCCAAAAACAGCAGTGGCTTCTGGGTGCGTTTCCCTCTTCTCGTAAGAGCTTTGTAGAATTTTTAGGATTTTCTTCGTTATTTATTTTTGAGTACAAAAGTTTTCTCAAAGACAAAGAGCAGCTATAACTGCGGGGTAGCGCTAAGCGAGGTACATCTGCCGTCTTTCCCTCTCTGTTCCTCCTTCTCCTTGTGCTCAATCCACGCTGTCGCTCTCTCTCTCTCTTCTCGCCCGTCCCCCTTCACTGGAACAAACTTCCCCTCCACATTAAACAGTCGCCTTCGCTCACTAGTTTCCGCTCCTCACTCGAAACTCACTTCTTGTTCCCGAGATCACCCCACGACCCCCTTATTTTCCCCCTTATAACCATCACCGTTACTTTTCCTTCTTCATATTCCCTTTCCCCATTCATTCAATCCATTCATCATCGTTTACTGTTATCATTTTTGCTGTCAATGAATTCACACATCACAGATTTGCCCCCATCGCCTCCTCACATCTAGTTTATTCACCTCATCTCCAATATTACATTCATATGTAACATTATTAATTATCTGTAAATTGCCTTGGTTAATGCACTATATAAATGCAGTTGATATAAGATAAGAGAATCCACATTTGAAGCAGTCACTGGTGGTCTCATGTGCCCAGTCGGCGCTGGGGTCACCCCCCTCCGATCACGATGTAATGCGTGTGACAACCCAGAGCAAATTCCGTGTACAGACACGTAGAGCACGCGTGCAGTGTGTTGTTATTCTGGCAAAGCGGCGATCGCACAAGGGGTGGTTGGCTGTTCGTCACCACTCACAACACAGAATGATTAATCTTGCAGGAGAATCCAATTACTCTATTTGAGGAGGGTACCTCTAAATTAGATTTTTTAAAGATGTTGTTTTCAACCAATTAATGGGTGTGCAACCAGAGCACCCAGAGACAACCCACGCCTTGTGTGAGGGAGCAACGCTCTATTCCACACAGAAGCGACAGATGATGTCAGTGCACACTTTGCTATACGGCCTGGCGGCGAGCTAGGGTATGGCTCCTCGACGCCCACGGGAAGGGAGTTTCACAACCATCTGTGCGTGATCCACCAACCCTAGCCACTGCCTCCACAGATGTGATCGGCTCTGCCGCTGGGTGGTGCAACGTTCTAGCGAAGCAATTGACGTGATACCTACACGGCGATCTGACCAACAATAAATCAACTCGCACAGCTGGTTGCGCTTTGTCAACAAAGGGGCGCCGTGTAAAAATAAGTCGTTATTCTCGTTAATGAACAACGCCGAACCCCGTGGCGCAGATCATCGACAACGAATGGAGCGTGATTGGTGTGACGAGCGTCTTCCGCTTCCCGTTCGTGCCGGTGGTGGACGGCGACTTCATTGCCGAGGCGCCGTCCACGCTGGTCGACCGCGGCGCGTTCAACCACACGGACCTGCTGGTGGGCGTCAACCTCAACGAGGGCTCCTTCTTCCTCGTCTACGAGGTGCCGGGCTTCAGCAAGGACGCCGACAGCCTGATCACACGCGAGCAGTTCCTGCAGGCCGTCGACATGTGCCTGCCGTACATCAGCGACTTGGGCCGCGACGCCGCCGTGCTGCAGTACACGGACTGGAACGACGAGCACGACCGCGTGAAGAACCGCGACGCGCTCGACGCCATGGTGGGCGACCTGAACGTGGTATGCCCCGTGCAGGAGGCCGCCCGGGTCCACGCGGCCCGTGGCGGCGCCGTCTACGTGTACCGCTTCGAGCACCGCGCCTCCAACATGGCGTGGCCCGAGTGGATGGGCGTCCTGCACGGCTACGAGATCGAGTTCGTGTTTGGTCTGCCCGTCGACCAGGGCCTCAACTACACGGCCGAAGAGCTTGCGCTCAGCCGAAACATCATGCGCTACTGGGCCAACTTCGCCAAGACCGGGTGAGAAGAGGAAACGCGTGGGGTGTGCGGGTGGAACGGAGTAGTGGGGCGCCGCGGTGGCTAGGAGATGGCAACTACCTCGCCTGGTATGCAGGAGGTTGTGGGTCCGATCCGGACCTTGACGCCTGCTGCTGTATATTTGGAGTTTGCATGTTTTCCCCGTAGTCGCGTGGATTTTTCTCTAGATCCTCCGGTTTTTCCCTCCACATTTAAAATCAACATCATGCGTTAAGAGTATTTGGCTGCTATTTCCACGTGATGATCAGCCACTTTCGTGGAGCAAGCATTTGTTGGCTGTGTCGCGTTCTGAAACAGAGCTATATATAGCTCAGTGGACCTTACTTGGTAAAATATTTTTTTTAGTTTTTAAATAGTGGGGGGGGGGGGGGGGGGGGGGGGGGCAGGCGATGCTCGTGGGGTTTGACGCATGGGAGGTTTTACCGGTGACTTTGCGGCTCGTAATGCACGGTGCGTACGCAAAGTGATGTAAACTCCACAATAATAATGATGACGATGATCATAATTGCAACTTGTAAGGCTGCATGTGACGGCTACCGCACGGTACTGGCTCACTCCCGACAGAGAGAGAGAGGCACCAGGAGGAAGAACCACGGACGAGCGGGAGGCAGTAGCCAGCCAGGCGGTGGGCTCGCGCTACCAATTGCCCAAGCTCTGTGGTTCCCTACATATTAAAGACATTAGCAGCCAATTACTGAGTGTTTATACACGTGGGAGGAAATATGCATGCGAGGGGGCAACACTTACGGAAGGAACAGATTATATTCCTATTATCCCACAGTTTTCTGTAACCACATTCTCCAGGCGAGCCAGGGTATGGCTCCTCATTGACGCTGGCATGGAAGGGAGTTTATTAACGTCCACCAACCCCTCACTGCTGCTGGTGCCTCCACAGTAGCTGGATTCGAGGCAGCCACACGTGCAGCAACATCGCCACCAGTACTGCTGCCCGACTTTGTTAACGCGATTCTTCCCATCTCGTTTCGATATGACGTACGAGTGAAAATGCACGCGTCCGCACGCTCGAAATGGTGCATCCTGTTGGCAACCAGATTCAGAACCCAATGCGTCAAACAGACGCAGACTAATTTAACACGTAGGCTTTCGCGACCAATATTATTCACGATAACAAAAAGTATGTTTGTGTAAGATCGTCAGGTGATTGCCAGAATCGTGTTTCCGGCCTTAAACAGAGTGAGGTGATGCCATCGCTGTGCACCCACAAGCGCAACGATCCCAGTGAGGGGTGGGGGCGGTTAATGCTTCACATTTAGTCCAATTTGTGACGCCAACCTGTAAATATGCAATACATGCTACCGGTTGGGTTACGCACAGCTCCTCAGCGTAACACCGGCACACAGCGATCGTCGAAACATCCCCCGCGTCTCTCGGTGCGTGTGCCTGCCCTCCCCCTTCCCCCCACCGCGCCCCCCAGGAATCCGGCTGGACTGGGGGGCACGGAGTGGCCCACCTTCTCCGCGGAGAACCCCCAGATCATGGCCCTGGGGGGGTTCTCTGCGCGTGTGCAGACGGGGCTCCGCTCGCAGCAGTGCGCCTTCTGGAACCGCTTCATGCCCAAGCTCATGCAGAGCACCGGTGCGGACACGTGCGTGTGTGCATGTGTGTGTGCGTGTGTGCATGTGTGTGTGAGAGTTAGTGTGCTATGAATCCAGCCGCTCGAGTTCGATTCCCGCTCACGGCCAACACCAGTGACGATTTTCTGAACTGGTTCTGGGCCTCCCCTAGGTCGACTAATCCTCAAATGAGTACCTGGTGCGGTGTGTAAAATCATCGCCACTGGGGACACAAAGGTGGCCGAGCGTGGTGCTGGCCACCCACCCCCTCGTGTGCCATTCCAGCCTTCATAGGTACTCGCTAACAGCACTTGCCCTAACAGTATGTTAAGCCTATGCAGGGGATCTTTGTTTTTGTCTTTTTGTGTGTGTGTGAGGGGAGTGGTAGTGTAGCGGTTAGCGTGCTGTACTACGTATCCGGTGACCCTAATTCGATTCTCCTCACGGCCCATAGTAGTAACGATTATCTGAACTGGTCCTGGTCCTCTCCTCGGTGCGGTGTGTAAACATCGTCACTCAGGAGAAAAAGGCTATGGCCGGGCGTGTTGTTGGCCACCCACCTCCTCGTGTGCTGTGCCGGCCCTCATAGGTGCTCACTGACAGCTTTGGTTAGCATGCTGCGCTACGAACCCGGCGACTTGAGTTCGATTCCCGCTCACGGCCAATATCAGTGACAATTATCTGAACCAGTCTTGGGCCTTCTGTAGGTGCTACTCGCCAAACAGCACTTGTCCAACAGTCCGTTAAAGACTACGCGGGGTGTGGGAGGGGACCTTTGCCTTTGCGTGTTTTTCCCACAGCCACGCTGGACGAGGCCGAGCGCCAGTGGAAGGAGGAGTTCTCCCGCTGGAGCGGCTACATGCTGGACTGGAAGTCGCACTTCGACCACTTCAGCTCCAAGCGAGAGGAGTGCGCGCGTGGCCTGTGAGGTGTCTCGATGAGGGGGACGGCTGGGGGGGGGGGGTGGTGGGGGGAGATCAATAACATTGTTAACATCATCATCAGAATCGTCGTCAGCGACATCACCATCAGTGTGATCGTCGATAATACCACGACTATTATTTGTCTTTCCCCGCACCTCTGATTGGCGCCGGTGGCTACGTACGGTGCGGCAGAAGTTCGACACACGCATGTACGTCATTAGTGTCATCATTGGCAGCGGTAGCAGCAGACCCATCAGAGTGAGCTGCCTCTCAAACGAGCAGTCCCCCTAAACATAGATTCGCTCGAACCACGGGCGTCGCCGCGGGTTAGTTGGTGTGACGTCCGCAGCCACGAGGGGCCGCTATGCTCCTCATGTTTGAGTGAATACGCAACCCCTCCCCCCATCCGAACTGCGACGGATCAGCGAAGCGCTACGCGGGAGGGTCGTGACGTTCCCTGCGGTGGATGAACCCACAGAGCATTACCGATTTTATCCACCCTGGGGGGATGAGGAGGACGATGATGGAATGAGTTGATTCCCAGCTGGGGAATGATAACTCGCGACGTTCTGATTGTGAGTCGCGTGCTCAGAATGCCACCGCCCGTGTTGTACGCGTGTGCTCGTCGGAGAAACGCGCACACACCTACAGCTATAACTGTGAATTGTATTATCATGATTTTTGCGGCTCAAATTTGGCATCTACCTGCAGCATAGGCTCAGTAGACATGTCAACGTTGAACCAACGTTGGCATGTCAACGTTGAACCAACTTTGGAATGTGATTGGAACTGTTCGGCCAACGTTGAACCAACCTTGGGCCAACGTTTAGCATGCGCGCGATCAACAATCAGCGACGATGGTGGCGACGGTGTTGTTGTTTAACAATCCCCGACTCTCGCAGAGGTAGATTTTCAAGGGTCATAAACACACAGAGACCATGAGGGGGGCGGCCACGAGCTGGGAGTCCACCCCCCGCGGCCTTCCACTTCCACGGCGGAGTCGATCTGACAACCCCGAGGGGATTCTCGCGGTGCAACTCTTAGCGTGGGAACAACCCATCGAGTCAACCTGAATTCCATCATAGGGTGGGGGTGTGGGGGGTGTGGAGTATGTGGGGGGGGGGGGGGAGTGGAATCGACCAATGAGAGAGGTTCAACTGTGAAACCTGACCAATAGCGCGAGCTCACAATTGATTGAATACCTCGCGATCAATGCTCGGTCAGGATGTTCAAAGAGTCCAATCCATTTATACGATACATGCTTTTTTTTTGGTCTCTTGAAAGAGTGGATGTTCATTATTTATTGACAAATGTCGAAACTGATTTCAATTTACAATTGGTGATGTTTTCTTAGGGGCATTGGGGGGATGGGGGGGTTTGAGCTGAGAATAATTTAGCCATGCAAATAGCGCCAATGTGATTAGGCCCAAGCTTACCCCGCACATGCCACTAATGCCATTAGCCAGAAACCCTGACCCTAAACATCGATCGGCAAAAAAGGACATTGATTCTTAATTGCCGCTCAATTTCGGCTGCGAGGATTTTGCTCTGTAACTCACCAGGCGAGTTGAGCCGAAGCATCCACAGTAATTGGCGCGTTGTTAGAACGCTCGTAAAACCGCGTGACAATTAAAGGAAAAATGTTTTTACCGTGCCGGGCAGGTGGAGGGTTCTTACCGACACAAATCTGTCCGAGTCATGATGCAGCCTCAGCGAAAAAATATATTATGATTAAGTAAAAATTCCATTAAGTTAGAATTCAACTGGAATCTCTCTCCATTGGTCAATTTCCCCTCAGCCCCACTAACCCAAGCCCTGGCCAAATACATGGGGAAACTGGCGTGACACACAACCTGGCACGGAGTTCTTATTTTGCGGATTACGGAGCCCAAAACCAGAAGGGCACAGGCTCAGGTTTCACCGTGTGTGAACTCTGTGCCGGGTTGTGTAATCGTTTATGAGAATCTGTACGTACTGTGCGTCCCAGCAGCAGCCAAACGCTACTCCGGTGGCCATACCTCATTTATCCGCTCCGTGTTTTGAAACCACTACTGTTTGCTGGGCCGCTGGAGTGTCCCTACAGGCTCTTGACTCTATTCCCATCTGGGGGTTTCCTTCGTCATGATTCAAGTTTGCTTTCGTTCAGCCACGTTCGCAAGAGAGTGACTCGGGGCATTATTTTGCCAGTAGGGGGCGATGGTTGCGTCCTCTGTGTGTGTAATCCCCCCCCCCCCCCTCCATTGAGTCATGTTGCAGGGTCACATTCGAAATTGGAACAGTTTAAAACTCTGCCACTGGCACACGGTGGCCCACTCTTGTGAATGACGTCCGGGGTGGGGGGGGGGGGACTTTGAGTGAAGCAGACGGCGCGTAGTAGTCGTATTATTATTACGCTAATTACACAACTACAGTATTTATCGGGGCCGGGCCGCTGGACTTGAACCGCGAACCTCTCTGCCTTCAAGTGGCAGACCGTGCTACCGCTCGGTGATGAGAGACCTCTGAACCCCACGAGTCTCCAATTGCCATGGGAGCCGAGAGCACCCGTGTGGGTTTATTATATAACAACGCGTTGAGTGTTATACAGCAGCGCGTTCTATATTATATATACAGCGTTGTCAGCCACAGAACCAAACTCCCTGTACAGAACAAGCCGTGCAATACGCCTCGGTACGTTCTCTGTGTATCTAACTAAACTGTCCACCTGTCCATTCGTCCAGTGAGGAAGCTAGGAATCCATCTGGCTTTTTCTCTGTCTCCTTTCACACACACAAACGCGCGGACGTGCGTGCAAGCTTCCCGTAAACCACGTGACTTTGAATCCCTCCTCTCTCATCTGAGTCTCTCTCTCTCTAAACCAGCTCAAGCCTCCAGTAAACCACGTGACTTCTGTGTGTGGCCACCCCCACTCTGAACCCCTTTCCCCTCTGCCCTGCCCCCTGTGAGAACAGACGCCGCTACGTCCCCATGCAGCAGCGTCTAGGCCCTGATGTAGCCTCCTCCTCATCTCTCCTGAATCTTTTGCTCCCCTCCCTGCCTTCATTTTCCCATCCTTTTTTTCCATTTCGTTCCCTCTTCCTTTTCCCATTCCTCATTCTTTCTCCCCCCTTCCACGCATCACATCCTAGTTTCTACCACCCGTTCCGTGGTGGTGGCGGCACCACCATGGATACATTAGTTGCCAGTGTTTACTAATCGATCCATCGATTCCCATGATCACGATGCACGTGTTGAGTCGAGCGAGCCTAAGAATTTAGCGGGGCATTTGTTGCTTGTATGCAAATGATATGCAAATGATATGCAAACGATTTGCGAAGCTACCAGAGTAAACAAAGTGGAGACGAGATGGAAGTAGCGAGTAGTGACGAGACGGGGGAACGAGACGACGCGAGTGGAATTTCGGAGAATTCTGACGGTCGAGTTCCTGAGGTCAAAGAATTGCACGCCCAGTGCACACACGCACGCGTCTACACGCAACCACGCACACACACACACGTCTACACACACACGTCTACACACACATAGACACGTCTACACACGTCTACACACACACGTCTACACACACACAGACGTCTACACACACACACGTCTACACACACACACGTCTACACACAAATAGACGTCTACACACATGTCTAGACACACACACACGTCTACACACACACACGTCCACACACACACACACGTCTACACACACACACGTCTACACACACGTCTACACACACACACGTCTACACACACATAGACACGTCTACACACACACGTCTACACACACGTCTACACACACACACGTCTACACACACACGTCTACACACACACACGTCTACACACACACGTCTACACACACACATAGACACGTCTACACACACACACGTCTACACACACACGTCGACACACACACGTCTACGCACACACACGTCTACACACATGCATCTACATACACGTCTACACAAACGCACACACAGATGCGTTTATACACACACAACCACATAAAGACAAAGATCCCCCGTATAGCCTGCACAGACTATTGGGGCGAGTGCTGTTAGCGAGCACCTATAAAGGCCGGCAACGGCACGGATGGGGGTGGGTTGCCAACACCATGCTCGGCACGCAACCACACGCACACACATGATTGCAGATACACACATGTGCACATACGCACACAACAACAGCCACCGTTCGCTACTACGTGGTGGTGACATCACAACGCTTGTGCCAGGCTTGGTGCACGTTGAGGCCACGTAAAATGTTGAAGGCTCTCTGACAGGTCACGGAACAGACCCGGGTGTCATGGGTGGACTGATGTGCCAGGCGAAGTGCAGAGAAGGTCAAGGAACAGACCCGGGTGTGCTGAGATCATTGACTGAGATGATCGGCAGATGCACCACATGTGCTCCCCACTATGCCAACTTGCTGCGTTTTAGTCGCCCGACTCCGCTCGTTGTTGTGAGCGTCTCTCCTCTGCCCTCTGTTGTTTACGGAGGGCAACTGCCTCCACCTGCCCAGTAGCGTCCCTCACGAGTCTCCTCCACAGAGGCCGATCTTAAAATCTCTGGTACAGGTCATCGGAAAGTCCACTCAGCTTCACGTCGTCCTGTACCGTATTAGCCCAAATCTTCTCGAGCATGTGCTGCGCCCGTTTAGCCCCCTCTACCCGGTCAAACAGAAGTTGATAGCTGGGCTTGTGGACTGCATGACCCAGCCAACTCAGCCTCGCCTGCGGGAGGAACTCACTGATGGGACTGTGTCCAGATCTTTCAAGGATCTGTGAGATCGCACCATGCAGCCTGGTCAAACCCAGGATGGACTGTAGGCAGGTGAGCCTAAATGTTTCACACCGGCGCAGATGTTCCTTTCAAGAGCTCCACGTTTCACAGGCATAGAGAAGGGAGGGCATGACTGTAGCCGAGAAGACCTGAAGCTTCATGTGGGGCGACGGGCTAGGTAGCTTCCACGTGGCGTCACGCAGTCGATGAACAAATAATTACGTTCGACTGCTTCGGAGGGAGACCCGTGCTGTCAAACTGGAACGAGCACACTTCCCAAGGATGGGAACTCCTCCACTTTCTCCACAACTGACCCATCGCTCATGTGGAGTTGAGGTGGAGGAGTGTTTGATGACATAAAATACCCAGGGAGGTGCTTTGTTTTGGAGTGGCATGCTCCAGGTTCAGCAGTAGTCTCCAACTTCTCAGAGTATCGGAAATTGCCAGATAGGCTTACATAACACCTCAGATTAGCACGGTTGGCTATGTACGGTGCGAAAGAAGTTAAACATACATACATAACATGTTTCACCAGTAGGGAGCCATCCCTCTACTGCACCCGAGTATCGATCAACCTCCTATTGAATCTGTACCAGATGTAAATGCCTCTGGTACAGCCATGAAAAGCTTCTCCAACTGCGTGCTCGCAAACATGTTATTTGTCGGAGCCAGAGGACATCGATGTCACACAGGTGAACAGGGAATGGCTCCGACTCCCGGCCACACACTTTAACTGGGTCTGTCCACCATCATGAAGGCCCTTAATAAGTGTGAGCAGAGAGGCAGGGACTCTGAATGCACGAAGAACAACCCAGAGCCCTGGCCTATTTGATGGTATCATAGGTCTTGACCAGGTCAATAAACTATAAGCTTTTTTTAATTTTACCAGTTAAGGCCCACTGAGCTCTTTTTCAGAAGTGACCTCGCTAGAAATGACAGCTCAACAAAGTGGTTTATCACGTGGGAATTTATAACAGCCAAATACTCTAAACGAAAAACCGGAGGACCCGGAGAAAAATCCACGCGACCACGGGGAGAATACTGAATACAAACTCTAAATATACAGCAGGCGTCAGGGTCGGGATCGAACTTACGACCTCCTGTATACCAGGCAAGGAAGTTAACATCTCGCCACCGTGGCGCCCATAACTCACCTATGTAGTCCCTGTTGGAATTCCCTACACCTCTGCTGTAGCAGACGGGGCAAAGCATGTTTAACGCTACACATGTACACACAGGATTACTGATACACTCACATTTGCACAAACGACAAGATCCCCCGTAGCCTAAATAGACTGTTGGGGCAAGTGTTGTTAGCCAGAACCTATGAAGGCCGGCACGGCACACGAAGAAGGATGGGTGGCCAACACCACGCCTGGCCGCCTTTGTCTCCCTAGCGGCGATGTTTACACACCGCACCAGGTACTCATTTGAGGTAGAGTCGACCTAGAGGAGGGACAGGACCGTTTCAGATAATCGTCACCGGTGTTGGCCGCGAACGGGAATCGAACCCGGGTCGCCAGGTTCTTAGCGCAGCGCGCTAACCGCTACACCACCGTTCTCCATGTATACACACGATTACTGATAAATGTGCACACACGTGCACACACACGCACACGCGTACACACGCACGCGTGCACAACGTCTTCTCGTCTCCTGATCGCATATATTCCACGTGACCTTTACAAATGTGAGCCTTCACGAGTGAGGCATCGTCTTTGTGTCCACTGGCATTTACCGTAGCAGACAGACCCGCTCAGCGGCATCGCCCCGAGTGGGAGTCGCACTCGCGTGGGATTAAAATTGAGTTGCATCGAGACGAGAGTGGGTTGAGAGAAGAGTGGGATTCAGGCGAGAGTGGGATTCACCCTCACACTGTGGGGGGGGGGGGGGGGTAATGGGGATTTGCAATGTTCTGGACTGCTGCAGTGCACGAACCACCCTGTCGCCGGTCTCCCTCCTTCACCGGCATGCGGTGACCAGCGTGGCGAGGTTTGGGAGGCCAAGGCCCCTTGAGCAGCAGGAGCCCCTCCCATTGCTGAGCGGCCCCTTTCACCAAGGCCGCGCGGGAGAGCCTCGATGCGAGTCGATGTCGCTCACTCTGGCCCGCGCCTTGCGTTGTCCTCATCTCTCCACTGCTGGACAGTCGCCCGTCTCTAACGACAGCGGTAGCTCCACGCCTCGGGCGCGTGGCGCAAAGATGGTCATGCGAATCGGTGTCCTTTGTGTGGCCAGGAGAGCCTTCGGTGAGCCTCAAAACGTCTCAGTGTGGGTCCTGTACCTGGGGGTTGTGTTTCTGTGGCAAGGGACTGTGAGGACCCCGCAGAGGAGCCACGACACCTGGCACGGGGGGCCGCTGGCGAGGCGTGGCCCAGGGCAGCAGCGCAGGGAGGTTTGGACGGGCGTGCAGCCAAGGCGAAACACTCCGCAGGGCGGTAGCTTCAACGCGGCGTGGCGGCCTTCATAGGCGCCGTGCGCCGGCCGTCACGGTCCACGTCTCGGTTTAAACAATGTGAAGCATTCCACGTAAATCATTACCCCACGCAAGCGTCGCTTATTGCGCCACGAGGGCATCGTCGCCCCACTGGCAAGCCGCCAGCTGTGTGTCATGCCTCGTGCTGCCGCGTAGGGACACTTGCCACTGGGTGGGAGCCTCACCCCCCCCCCCGGCTGCATTGTCGCAGTGTATTGGAGTGGTCGGTCGAGGTGAGGCGTGTGGCGCTTCTTCTGGCTGAGATTCCGCGGCACACGAAGCGCCAGTCCTGGATGCGCGCAAATCGTCACCGCTCACACGAGGGGCTGCGCCGACGAAGCGGTGGGCACAGAGAGAGAGAGACGGAGAAAGACAGAGAGAAAGACAGAGAGAGACGGAGAGGGGGAGCAGTCAACTTGCTGTGGTCGTACGTGATTCCCTCCAACGGGGTGCTCCACCGAGCGACGCGCCGTGTCGCCACCAGAAAGAGCACGTGGCGCTGTCTCCCCCTGGGCTGGCACGATCATCTCCAGCCATTTCGAGCATCTCGCGCGATAACAACAACAATAATTTAGTGATCCGCCATCTCCCCTCTGCTTCCTCCCTCCTTCCCTCCTCCCTTCCTCCCCCCTCTCTCCTTCCCCTCTCCCTCCTTCCCCCCTCCCCCCTTTCCCTCCTCCTCCCCTCCCTCCTTCCCCCCTCCTCCCCTCGTTCCCCCCTCCCTCGGTCCCCCTCCCCCCTCTTGAGAACGAGGCTTGGGACCCCACCCCCGAAATCGACCAATTCTGGAGATGTCGAAACAACTCTGAGAAGCCCCGTGGTTGTCGGAGACTCCGATAAGACGTCACCATCAGTGTGTGCTGCGCGGGGCACCGCCACGTAGTTTGAAACCATTGGGGGGGTGGTTTGTGACAGCAGCACGATGATGGTGGGGGTGGTGGGGGGTGGCCTTGCAACGAAGGGCGCCGCGTGAGCGTCGCGACTGCGGGACGCCTGCCCACTCGTGACGACTCGCCGCCGTTCCCGTGTGCCCTCTTGACCCCCCCACCCCCTCTTGCTTCCCCCACCCTTGCTCCCCACCCCCCCTCTTGCTCCCCCACCCCCCCCACTTGCTCCCCCCTCTTGCTCCCCCACCCACACCCCTCTTCCCCTCCATTGCTAATTAACCCTTAAGGAAAGAAACCACTACGTGAAAATAATAGCATATGATAAAAAAGTGTTTATTCGCATGCTGTATGTATTTAAGATATTTATTATACTTCCAAATGTAATTTTGATACTTTCGGAATGATATATATGCGTATATTACAGTGCCAATACTTTACGATGTGCTCCATAAATGATTTTGCTGCATTCTAACTCGATACCAGGTGGTAGTGGCCAATGCTGCACCTCGCCGTCGATTCCTTCCTTCTGTCAGATCACATTGCGCATCTGATACGCGGACCTTCAAGGACCACTCCTCACAGTCTAATCACAACCACCACAAACAAGACACCACGTGGCTTGGGGTCTTCTCTTCCCGTTGCTAGCCGACGTCTGGATGCCATTAGAATTCACATCTCGGTCACTTGCCCTCCTCCTCCACGACGCACACCGCGTCCCTCCCATCACAACCTCCTCCACGACGCACACCGCGTCCCTCCCATCACAACCTCCTCCACGACGCACACCGCGTCCCTCCCATCACAACCTCCTCCTCATCCAATTCCCAACCTCCAAGTTGTGTACCCGGTATCGCTGTGTTTAACTTCATTACCGTAACGTGCGCAAGTGTTGATGATAGACCCAAGGACGGTCGGCTTTCGGACACCCACGCGGCCCCTGTCCCCGGCTTCTCGGCTTCTGGCGGGTCGGCGGCAGTCGCCACCAGGACTGCGGCCGCACCATATTCGGCATCTCTCCGCTCGCTCCGCTGACCGAGTCAGAAATTTGCGATTCGATCTCGCGAAGCAGCGGACGCCACGTGCAGGGGACGCGCGATACGGCGCGCCGCCTCCTCGTGCCGACTGTGGCGACTCAAGGACGCGGGCCCCGTGGTGTCACGCGAGGTAGCGGTGCACCTCTCTCCGTGTAAGAGGCTACCGAATATAAACACAAATTCCTTCCGTCTCGTGACCACGTGGCAGGCATGGGGACCTCACGGATTGCCCGCAGCTGTCACAACAACAACAATAAAACAAGCTCACGTGAGCTCAGATACTCGTTTAAGGCTGCGTCGACCTAGGGGAAGACCTGGACAGGTTCGGATGTCTCGCCATTCGCTGACGCTGCGCACGATCGGAGATTGAACCCGAGTCTCTGTACACACACACACATCAAACAAAGACGAAGATACCCCGTGTAGCCTTCACAGACTGTTTGGGCAAGTGCTGTTAGCGAGCACCTATGAAGGCCGGAACGGTACATGTGGGGGTGGGTGGCCAGCACCACGCCCGATCGCCTTTGTCTCCCCAGTGACGATGTTTACGCACCCTACCAGGTACTAATTTGAGGCTGAGTCGACCTAGGGGCGGACCAGCACCGATTCAGATAATCGTCACTGGTATTGGCTGTGAACTCGGGTCGCAGGGTTCGTAGCGCAGCACGCTAACCGCTCCACCACCGCTCCCCACACACATGAACACACGCACACACATACACCTGACCAACTGGTGTATGATGATGCGATAACAGACGCGACCCCAACACGCGCTCGCGTCTCTCTCGTGAGTGGCACGAGCGGACTGCCCCGCGCCAGGGCGCGCAGTGGGAATGAGACCAGTGGAGAACAATCGCTGCTGTAGAGGGGGTTTCTTTTGGGGTTACATCGTGTAAATATGAATCTGTCGTTTCACCCGCCACCACCCGACACAGCCAATTAGAAGGGTTGGTCATGTAAACAAAACGTGCCAATCCGTTACTTACTAATTCAACACACCGGTTGCGTGATGGAGAGTAAACCCACCACAACATTTACAACTCGACTACCACGAAAGCCCACGTGTTAAATAAGAACAATTGCCAGTGTCACGTCCGGTGTGTCACCCCAATGTGTCACTCCCGGTGTGTCACCCCGGTGTGTCACCCCCGGTGTGTCACCCCCAGAGTGTTACCCCCAGAGTGTCACCCCGGTGTGTCACCCCAATGTGTCACTCCCGGTGTGTCACCCCGGTGTGTCACCCCCGGTGTGTCACCTCGGTGTGTCACCCCCAGAGTGTCACCCCGGTGTGTCACCCCCGGTGTGTCACCCCGGTGTGTCACCCCGGTGTGTCACCCCCAGAGTGTCACCCCGGTGTGTTACCCCCGCTGTGTCACCCCGGTGTGCCACCCCCGGTGTGTCACCCCGGTGTGTCACCCCCAGAGTGTCACCCCGGTGTGTTACCCCCGCTGTGTCACCCCCAGAGTGTCACCCCCGGTGTGTCACCCCGGTGTGTCACCCCCGGTGTGTCACTGTGCTATAGCCCCAGCAGTGCGCCGCAGTATTTTCGAATTAATCAACAGGAAACGCCGAGACAGAGAAAGAAGAGAATAACAATCAGTCAAACACACGCACACCCGCAGCCATCAGCGTAGAACAATCACATGGGCGCACTCGGCGTTGAAATGAACACGGACGGACAGTCATCGAAATAACACCTTCTCATAGACGGACACATTCCACGTGGCTATGACGGCATCAAGTCCATCCGTGGCGGCGTACCACTCGAAAAAGCCGCGTGCACCCACACACGCAACATTCTCATCATCAGCATCACCATTTGCCATGGTCAGTCTGCTGCTGGATGAAGGCGCACCCAGTTATCTGTTGCGCTGTGGAATCGAGGGGGCGTTGAGAAGCTCCGCTCGACACGAGGGGTCCAACCTGCGCCTCGACCTCACCACGGCCGATGACACTCGCATCTGTTATAGCACCAAGAGTTTGAAAAAAAAAATGAGAACAAAAAAATCATTCCCACCGTAGGCCTCTTCACCAACCCCAATATCACCGCTACTGGCAGCAGAAGCAGCACCGTCGTTACTGCGGGAACTCGCGCGTTTGTTGTTTTTCCTTGCCGTGTGATGATGATTTACGATCCTTCTCGTCCCGCGCCTCGTTGTGTCCCTGTGAGCCAGCGGCCGTGCGTGAGGCCGGGCTGCCCCCCCCCCACGTGCTGCCCCCCCCCGTGCTGCCCACGGCCACGGGGTAATACAGCGACCGCTACGGTCATTGACTACCCCCCGCCGCCTGTCTCTTGTGCACACGCGGCAAACACACGACACACAACATACATGACACAACACACACGACACACACAACACACAACATACATGACACAACACACACGACACACAACACACACGACACACACGACACACAACACACGACACACACAACACACGACACACACGTGGGGCTTGGTGGGATCTTCACGATGATGATGGAGATCATCAGCGCCATCATCGTCATCAGCATCGCCATCGTGGTCATCACCATTAACGCGTCGATCTCATCATCATCAGCATCAATGTGATCGTCATCAGGAACTGCTTCCATGTGTATGCTCCAACGAAGTTCCTGACATCAAGGCTCGCCTTCTGCTACGGACTCGGGGGTCAAGGCTCTGCCCCTGCACGGTTGATGGCGCTTTTGGCAGTGCAGCTCCCCAAGGGTTGGAATGCTTCGCCTTTTTCTTTAAAACGCACTTCTTTAAATTGGCCTTCACCCCCCCCCCCCGGGTTAGATGCGGGGTGCCGTTAACTCCCTCGACTGGTGTGCAGAAAGTTGTGGGTTCGATCCCGACCCTGACGCCTGCTGTGTATTTGGGGTTTGCGTGTTCTCCCAGTGGTCGCGTGGATTCTTCTCCGGGTCATCCGGGTTTACACTCCACATTTAGAAACACGCGTTCAAAGTATTTGGTTGCTATAAATGTCCACGCGACAAGTTACTTCGTTGAGCTATCATTTGTGGCCAGGTTGCTTCTGAAAAAGAGCTATTTAGCTCAGTGGACCTTACCTGGTAAAAAAAAATCGTTTAGTTGAGTTCTGGCCTTTACCCTGGAGGTTCTGTTTATTTCCTGCATCCCATACACGTGGCGCATTGGGAGGATCTATGGATGAAATGCAACCTTACAAATGTCAATTATTACGTTTGATCATCGTCGCCATCATCTTCATCACGACGGGTCGTGGCAGTTCACGTGGTTGCCTGCAGCCCAGCACTGTGGAGGCATCAGCAACGAGGGTTGATGGATCACACAGCACAATGTTGAGAGACGTCCTTCCCGTTATCCGCAACACACGGAAGGACATGCACGTGTACGCATGACGACGTTGACAAAGAGAGAGAGGCGCCAGGAGGAGGAACCACGGACGAGCGGGAGGCAGTAACCAGCCAGGCGGTGGGCTGGCGCTACCAATAGCTCAAGCTCTGCAGTTCTCTACATATTGAAGATGTTATCAGCCAATTAGTGCATGTTTATACATGTGGAAGGAAACCGAAGTACCCACAGAAAACGCACGCGTGCGAGGGGGCAACACTCTATCCCTTACAGACCGACGGACCAGGTTGAGTCCACACGTGTGTGCTGTGCCGCCTTCCCCTGGCGAGCCAGGCGGGGCACGGCTCCTCCACGCACAGGGAAGGGAGTTTCGCAGCCCATCTGTGCGGTGATCCACCAACCCCTGCTGCTGCTGCTGCCTCCACAGCGCTGGGCTGCAGGCAGCCACATGCAGCAGTAGCGGCAGCAGCAGCGTAGCCTTCACCGCTCTCTCTCTTTGTCGCTCTCTCTCTCTCTTTGTCTCTCTCTCCTTTCCCTCCAAGCTTCTGTTGCTCTCATGAGAGCGTGGCACCATCGTCTACCCGTCTCTTCATGGACGTATTGGCGCGATACACACCGCTGGCGCGCGGTTTCTATATACAGCATCGATATAAAAAAAAAACACAACCCCGGTGAGAACATCTTGCGGGGTGGTGGCGGTGCGAGTCAAAATCAGTTCCCGTGAGGTCGAAGCAGTCGGAAGACGAAACGTTTCTTATCCGAGCGGGCTGAACACGAAGACGTCGCAGTCTGTTGCCGTCTAGCAGCAACCTCGCCCTGATGACGATTGCCTGGCTCCGTGTTGCGATGTGACTCCTCGTGCCCGAGACGTGGGTCGAGACGGTTTACTCGATTCATATCCGGAATCATTTCTCGGCGGAGGGTGGCATCACAACAAAGATTACGACTCGTGGTGGTGGCGTTCGAATGGTAGAGCGGCTGCTGCATCTTGAGTCCCGCATCTCACTCAAGGGGCAACAGCGACATCGTCCGGACTGCGTCACCAGCCCGTGTGTTTCTCGCTGTCTGCCTCGCTGTCTCGAGCCCGCTTTGTCTCCCCTCCGTCTCTCAGAGATTCACGGTTG